GCAGCCGCGGACTCCAGCTTCCGGCGGGGTCCCGGGGTCTCCGCCCTCCTCCTGCTGACGGGCTGTGCGCCTGAGGCCGGGGCTGAGGGCGGGGTCCTGGGCGCGGTGGCGTCCGCCCGGCCCGCTTGCCCGCCAGGGCCCCGGGCTGGCTCCCTGAGAATGCGCTCCGCCGGTGCAGTGCAGGGAGGTGGTGATGTCCGTCCTCTTATCCCCACTCAGGAAAGAAAGGACGTGCTCTGTTATCATCACCCTTTTGAGCAATCGCTTTGTCCCAAGCGCTGTCGTAGGATTCTGGGGGACCGGACAGAGGCAGTCCCTGCCCTGTTCGGGACCTCGTGGCCGTCGAGGGTGTCAGGTGCTGGGTGCTCAAGGGAACTGTGCTCAGGGTGCTGTGGGCACCCGGAGGAAGGTGCCTATGCCAGCTCTGCTCAATGCCCACCTCCCCGTGCAGGACAGGGGTGCTCAGGGAGTGACTGGCATAGAGGGAGAACACCTTGTGCGCACAGCACCTCCGTGGTGAGGTCTCTCTTGCCTGTCTTTCTCCCCACTTAGCTTATAGCTTATGGGCATGACTCTTCTCCTGGACCTTTCTCAGCCACAGTTCAGCCCTTTGTTACCTGCCATCCTCCCGCCAGCCCACAGCCAGAGGGATGGGGTAGGTCTGTTTGAGAAGGCAACTTGGTAGTTGGCTGGAGGCCGGACTGATAAGGTCAGGAGTGTACTTGGACTGCCATTGCCGGGCACCAAGCTGGGGGCTAGACCATGTCCCACTGGGGCAGAAACTGAGTCCCACGGAGTGAGGTTACTTGCACCAGATCCCTCAGCCTGTGATTCTCAGGTCTGGTGGCTAACTTCACTGTCCTTTCCCTACCATGTCCTGCTTTCTCTCGAAGGCACAGGGACAAATGACCTTTATGAAGGGAAAGCCAGAGAAAAAGAGGTGAGGGTTGAGGACTTGGTGACTGTCCCTTGGCTGCAATGGTGGAGAGGGAGGCTCAGGGACAAGGAGGAAAGTGGATATCTCGTCCTCCTGAGCGCCCACAGAGCAGCGCTCTGTGTTCATGGGGACTAAAGGGTGAACTGGGGCCCAGTTCTGCAGCGGCGAAGTGCCTGACAGGCGGTGTAATCATTGAGGTGGACATGGGAAATGAATCTGGCCCCATAAGCAGGGGTTTTCAAGAGGGATGTTTGTTGCATCTGAATCCTCTCAAGGTTATTACGTGTTATTTTAACTGTCAAGGCTCAGGCTTGCCACAGCAGGCTCCAAGAGTCAGCTCTAGCCTATGGTCTAACACATTGTTCTTCTAATCTTTTGAGTGGAAAAGCTTCTAGAAAGCTTGGGCATACTGATTGCCTGCTCCCTGTCTCGAGTGCTTCAGCTCTTGTGGGAGGTGGAGCGGAGTGGCTGCAGTGGTCTGGTGGGAATGATTCAGGAAGAGGCAGAAGTGCCTCCTCGCATTTGGGTGTGCCTTCTGCCTGGTGGCTGCAGGGACAGGCTGGCAGCCCCTTCCCAGGAGGGGCACGGTCTTCTGGCTGCATTGCATCTCTGATTCATCTCTCTGTTCTTCCCTTCTCTGTTGGCTCGATGTACTCCCACTTGGGGCCATCATCCTTGGGCTCCTTCTGGCACCAGCACTGGTACCTTGTCCCCTCTCCATGGACTTAGTCACTTTCTTCTCCTGCTGTAGGCCCCGGCATGCATGTCACTAAACAGAGAGGGACCCCAGCTGCCCTGGCCTAGCACGCCTCCTAGTCACTCTCTTCCTGTCATGTGGCCAATTTTCTTCTTAGCACTTAGTAGTTACAGAAATCATTTTAGGTGCTGGTTAGCACGATTTCTGTCTGCTAGCAGTTGACCAAGAGGCTCCTGAGAGAATTGTCTTTCTCTCTTGTTTTCTTTTGCTGCATCTGCAGTGCCAGCACGAAGCCTGGCCGTGCCGTAGGTGGTGTTGCACTACGGAAGGGGACGGAACAGATGGAAAGCAGCGCCATGCAGCTGGCCCTTCTCTGGGGTCTGAGCAGCGTCTTCTTAGCAGTGCTAGTAATTGTAGGGCCTGTGGCTTGCTCTCCATATGCACGGATGCCCGAGGTTCTTCACAGAGGGTGATTCACTAAACTTCATGGCAGTCCTAGGAGACAGGCACTCTCCCTTCACAGATGAGCAGTCTGAGGCCTAGAGACCTCACATAACTTGCCCCCAGATACTTAAATTTTGTCTTCCGACAGAAATAATCTCCTGGGCTGTTGGTGAGTGGCAAAGCGGGAGTCTGCACTGAGTTGTCCTTCAGCTGCATTGCATTGCCCTCCAAGAGGCCTCCCACCCATGCCTGGCACTGGGGGAGCACTGTGTTCACTGCCAGAGGATGACAGCACGTGACTAGCTGTGAGGATAAACGACAGTTTCCTCCAGGTTCTCCTAACGTCTGCTTAGAACAGGACCCTAGCCTCAGTGCACTGAGAACCTCCTGTCAAGAATAGGGTGGGACATCTTCTGTAGAGTCCACCAGTGGCCTGGCTTTTCCCATGAAGTCTCTCTGAGCCACATCCTGCTCTCAGCACTGTCCTGGTCCATGTGTTGGCTAGTGTAGTAATTTGGAGGATCAGGAAGTTATAAATGTGCTCCCGAGTTCACCGTGTTCACAAGTGTCTAGGAGCGGGACCTGAAGTGATGTCTTGCTGTCAGTGTCGAGAGGCAGCCTCTGCTCTGGATGTGCACGCAGTGCGTGGGGTCTCCGGCACAGCATCCCTCCTTTGGCTCTCTGGGGCTAAGCTGAGCAGCTGGAGCACACCCGTACTGGCAACCTTTGGCTCCAGGCACAGGGCTGGGTCAGCTACGGCTTCCAGGCCCATTTGCTGGTCTCTCCGCTGCAGCCGCCTCCCCGTTAGGGGCTAGAGCCCCTGAGAGACATGTTCTGGCTTTGTCTGTGCACATAGCTCTAAGGCTGGGCAGAGCTGTCCCCTCGGCTCCTTAAATATCTGTGGGTCTCAGGGAGAGTGCATTCTGCTCTCGGTTTTTGCTGTGCAGTCTCTGCAAAAGTGGAGTAAGTTTCAGGGCCCTTCCACCAAGTCCCCCCACCCCCACAACATTGCCCATGTTCTGCCTGTGGCCTGCCATTGCCCCGGCACCCTTCTAGGCCATGGCTGTAGCTTCTCCTTCCTTCGGCTGCTTCTGCAGTCCTCTCTGGGTGTGGGTTTTACCCTGTGCAGAGGGCCAGCTACCCTCCTTGGAGTCAGACAGCCCTGGACAGTTTGGCTGCCAGTGTGGGGAGGCCAGCATGTCTGACACCTTGCCTTGCTCTACTGCTTGGAAGTGTCTTCAGGAGGGGTCTGGGGTGTGGGCTTGGCCAAAGCTTGTGGAAGGCAGTGAGGCTGATGCTGAGTGAGATGTGGGGCGACCCCGGTGTGTGCAGGGTGCTAGGGATGTATGCCTGCTGGCTCAGAAGGGGATGGGGAGACAACCAGGTGGTCACGTTGTCATCCAGCCTGGCCAGCACACTGGCAGGACAGAATGGCTTTTCTTGGCCTGGGTGGAAGCTCAGCTGGCTCTCTACTGTCTCCTACCTGTCCCATCCCGGGGACTCGCTGCCAACTCACGCCTGCCTGAGATTCTCCTCTGCTTTCTGCCAGGGTGCTGGGCAGCTGCAGGTGTGGTGGGTTTGAGTAGGCAGTATGGGATGGAGGTAGTGTCAGGAATGTTCAGGGGCCAAGCTGGTCTCTTCCAGTGCCTTGCCTGGCCTCCCTTGCTCATCCATGGGTGGCTCAGCCATTAGCTTGGGAAGAGAGATAGGGTCTGGGTGGGTGGGGTCACGTGACTGTGCATTACAATATCTCCTTCCTGCCTGCAGCAGGTCAATGGCCAGCAAGGAGGGGGGTCCGAGCCGGTGGCGGCGGCGGCAGCGGCAGTGGTGGCAGCGGGAGACAAATGGAAACCTCCACAGGTACTGACCTTAAGCATCCTCTCCCTCAGGCCTGCCTGTCTGCCTGCCCGCCTGCCCGCCTGCACATCCCTGGGCCTAGAGAGGGCTAGCCAGGGGCTGGTCGGGAGTAGCCCCAGGGACCCTTCTGGGCAGACACATTCCTGCAGGTCAGCGGGCCTAGCCCTGTGCCTGTCACGCCCCTCCCACCCAGCTTCTGGGCCTGGCCTCTACCCTGTGAGTCCACCCTGCTTTGGCCCCAGACAGGGCCTGTCCATGGTCTGGCCAGGTGGGGGCAGTAGGGACTGGACCTTGGCCAGTGCTTACTGTTAGCCGTCAGCCTTATGCAGAAGGGCGGGCCCACTGTTGTAGACACACAGCGCTTTGTTATCAGTCAGAAGTATGCATTATCATTTTAGATCTCTCTGTTTTGTTTTAAATAAAACAGCAAGCCAACGTGCAAGTCAAAAGACAGGTCTGGTTGGGACTCAGCCCTCCCAGTCTTTCCTCAGCCCATGGCCGTTGCCCGTGGATCTCATCCTGCTCCACTTGCCTGGCCCTTGGGAGTGGGTCCCACAGGAGGTGGGGCTGGGCCTTGTTGCTGGGGAATCGGGTTCT